ATCAGAAGTTCACCTGACTAAACAGCATCATAACTCACATGCAGCAGTTTGCAGCAGCAGCATCAGTCCAAAGATCAGCATCATTTCTCCAAAGACCAGTTTCCAGAAGAGCCCAATCCCAGCAGAAGAGTGTGATGCTGCTTCAGATCGTGACACGAGTGTCTGGACTTCTGTCCATCTCTGTTCTGGCTCTCATGAAGTGTCTTTACAGCGAGACTCAGACTGGATTGACACATGAGGAAATCTCTGACCACTTCACTGAGGAAGGAGGAAGTTTCCTCTGATGGGGGAAGGCAGATGATGTTACATCTAAAACAAGACAGTGAAACTAACATTTTCAGGCAAGAAAAGGAACAAGTGGGGTTCCTTTTACAAAGAGTTGTAAAATGACTAATTATGTAAATTACTTGACAGATTCTCCTGCAAATCAAATAAAGCAGTATCTTTACTGTATTGATGAAATGCTCTTGACAGTTTTATTGAGAGTAAACCAGAATCTGGTCTACATGTGAGTGTTATGCGGGCTGTTTGTAATGTCTTCCTCTCATTGAGTGTGTGATGGTGTTTGTAGCGTTTGACTCGGATCCAGTCAGTTCATGTGTGAATGAAGAGAGGATTCTGACCTTCAGCCTGTCTGGACTCACTCTTCTGTTTACTGGAGCAGTGTAGCTGCGAGCTGCTCTTGTAGAGAGCGACACCTGCAGGAGGAAACGACAACTACAGCTGAACTCTTTCCACCGCGCTCTGCTTCATTTCATTCAAAACCTCGTGCTTTAAAATAAACTTAATCTTATTTATTTTAACTTATTTATAAGCTACACTCTTTAAAAAAATGGTTCTAAACAGTACTAGAAAAGGGTTCTTCAGCTTGTAACAATAGCAGAACCCTTTTTGGTGCTAAATAGAACCCTTTTTATAGGGTTCCAGAAAGAACCATGCTTTGAACGTGCTATATAGAACCTTAATGGTGCTATAAATAACCTTTTTAATGATAGTTTATTTTCATTAATATTAGTATATTAGTATATTTATATCATTAATATTAGTTTTATTCATATTATTTGAATAACTTATTTATTACTATTGTTTTTTTACCCCTCTATCTGCCTGGTCTTATAATATCTTATAGCTTCTATTAAGGTTTTCATAAAAACAACAACAACAGCATGTTGTGTCAATTAGGTTTTTTTATTTTATTTAATGACATGTGAAATTGTAGCAAAAATGACAGTGATTTTAACAACCGTTATTAGCAGAATACATTAATAAATGACAATTGACATTTATGTTAAAACAATTGTTTATGAAGGCCAAAAGTAGTATGTGAGCACTTCACAATGTTATGTTTATGTATAAACCCAAATAATAAAAAAAATAAAGTAAATAAATAAATCTAACAATATGGACCATAAATTCAATATCTTTGTTACTTAGTGGAGATGGAAAAAGAAGTATCCTTAACTGAACAGAGCTGGTCGCACTTACATGTTCTCTTAAACTAAAAAGAGAAAAATACATGATTGGTAGGAAACCAGTTACAGTTTAAAAGTTGAAAATAATAGACATTTTAAGAAAGAAATCATTTACCTGTTGAGAGTGTGTTGACAGTCTGTGTAGTTGGATGGCTGAAGTCCAAAAAATCAGTAATTCAGGGGGGAAATCAGGGGGAGGGGGATTTACATTAAAATAACAACAACAACAATAACAGCAGCAACAACATATTGTGTTAATCAGGTACTTTTTTATTGATGTGAAATTGTAGCAATAATGTCAGTGCTCTTAACAACAGTTGACACTTGACATTGAACATTAATACATAGATAAAGTGTACAAACACAAAATAAAAACAAAAAATAGATGTGATGAAGACAAAGTTCCAGTGAAATATCTTCACAATCCTATATGATGCCTTTAAGTCCATCATTTTGGTGTGACTGAGTGGCAGTTTCTCTCTGCAGAGGGCGAGGTTGTGGGATGTGATGCATCTGAAATAGTTTAGAGTTGTCCATTTGTTTATGTAAAAACAATAACGTCTATGAAGGCCAAAAGCAAAAATGGACAGAATGTGAGCCCTTCACAATGTTAAAATAAATAAGTGATATAAAGTCATGGGATAGCTTTAATATTTTTTGTGACTAGGTACAGTATGTTTATGCATAAACCCAAGTAATAATTGCATTACATTTACATTTAATTATTTAGCAGACACTTCTATCCAAAGCGACTTAATGAGGGTAATAGAAGCAATCAACATGACAAAAGAGCAACAATATATAAGTGTTGTGACAAATCTCGGTTAGTCTAACACAGTACACATAGCAAGGTTTTTTTATTATTATTTTTTTTTTATAATAAATAAAGAGAAAACAAGCAGATAGAATAGAAATAGAATAGAGAGTTCTAGTGTTAAATAAAAAATAAAAAAATTCTAACAATATGTATTATATATAAATGCACGAATGTGGTTAAACAGGTTAAAAAACTGCACATGCAAACAAAAGTCTAAAAACACAGTCAGAAAACACCAGACACCCCAAAACTGAAACACGGATGACGGATCAAGAGCTTCAAACAGATAAAACATCAAACAAGAGACACTGTATATAAAAGAAATCAACCAAAACCAACAGAATAACGTAAAAGAGCAAGAGCAGGAATGTGAAATAAACCCATTTCTAGAAGATATTGAAAATAAACACACAGAATGACTTCACAATCTGCCAGATCTGATTTAGAGAAATAAATATCATGCATGAACAGAAGAGGTTTCAAGTAATGGCATAAAATACTGCTAGTTCATTTAAAGCATAAAGACAAATGAATAAATAAGCAACAAAACTGTTTAAAAAAAATCTAATTTAAAAATTAGTTTAAAAAAAATCTAATTAAAGAAGAACTATACCTGTAGAAAACATCTCCTGGCTTATTCTGTAGGATCTCCTTCTGTCGACAGGTGAAAGCTGGATTCATGTGAGAATCTGTGACATTTCTCATAGATGTGATGATCTGCTGCTGGTCTCATGAATCTTCTGCTGTGTGTTCTTCTCAATCTTCTCATTCTCAGTTTCTGATCTTCCTGATTCTTAATAGCATGACATTATCATCACCTTCACACTCTTAAAGGGGTCATATGATGCGATTTCAATTTTTTCTTTCTCTTTGGAGTGTTACAAGCTCTTGGTGCATAAATAATGTACAGTATGTGGAAAATAATGTGTTTTTTTAACCTTAAACCGCATAAACACATTTCATTACACCGAATACACAAAATAATGTTCTTTTTAGCAGCATCATATGACCCCTTTAATATTTGCATGTCAAATCCATAATGGTGATAATAAATGTCACTCACCTGACGTGTGTCTAATGTAGATGTGAAACCCTCCTAACAAACCCAAAAGAACCATCAGCTGAAAACACCAGACCAGCACAAACACAGACACTGAAAACACTGAAAACAACAATCAGACAGAAGTCAGAACCCATCCTTCATGTTTCCAGAAGTGTGTTTAGAATCACATTCGGATGTCTGTGTGCTACTGGTCACTGCAGAGGTCAAACTAGAGATCACAGATGCAGTAGTTGGTCCTGTAATAAAACATCAGCACAGAATAACCTGCTTTCTCTCTTTGAACCACATCAACACAATTCACCGAAGAACCCAATTAGGAGAACTGACTGTTTTGCATTGTTGGTGTTGATGTGTTTTTTATACGTGGACATTCATGTATTAACCCTCTCGATGGGTGAGATTTATACCAGCTGATGAGAAACTCATATCATATTCTGAATCTTTTGCTACTGTTGAGGTCACAGATGCAGTAGTTGGTCCTGTAACAAAAAATCATTGCAGAATCACCTGTTTTCTCCTTAGTATAAATTACTGCAGAGTAATTTATAATTAATCATAATTTATCATTTTGAAGTATTACGTGGCCAATTAAGAGAATCGATTTGTTTAAATCTCATGAAACCTGTCTAAGTCATGTCCCGATCACATTTCAGTTCAAAATCTGATTAACTGTACTAACTGTAATATTTTGTATTCACGTTTCATTGAATGTTTTTAGTAGCATTAAACCATTTTGCAATCCTAGCCCATGAATCTACACCTCAAATATCATTTCTGACATATGACGAAAATTTAAAAAAAAAAAAAGGAAAAAAAAAAATAAAATTATACATTCTCAATATATTATTGGAAAAAAAAAATATATATATATACAAATTATAATTACTATAATATGTGGAAAATAATTATATTATAACATTGTAAAGTATACTGTACATACTGTAATGGTTGTATTTGTTTTCCATCTTTAAATTATGGCAAATAAAATCATAATATTATCATCATAAAATACCTGCATCATAAAATATGCAACTGCATAGAATGAAAATAAATGCAATTGCAGCAATAAGAATCAAAAACAATTATCACTGTAAATAATAACAAATACAAAAAAATCTAGAACATTACAGTAAAGAACATTTAGGAAGCAGGAGTGCTTTTAATTCTCATGAAAAAAGGCAATGCAAATAAAATGAATGGGTTGTAAAATAGTCCTAATTTTCTTCATGCAAAATATCATTTATTTTGATTTGGGGGTGAAATGTTTGTTTGTCTGTTTATAATTTATCAACTGAAAAATATAAAAAGTAAGTAAATTAATAAAATACATATAAACAACAAACAAAGAGAAACAAGATTGACCTTAAGCTGGTCTAAATCTAGTCTTATTTAATAAAAAAAAAAGAAGAAGGAAAAAAAACTCTTATGAATAAACAAAAATATAAAGAGTCCTAGATGAGATAAAACCATCACAGTTCATCAAAATACGCATCAGGAATATTGCACTCTGGCATAAGAGGATATTGTGGTGAAATGTGACTTGGACATGTTCTTGACAGGTTTTGTGAGATTCGTTCATCTTCATCACTCTTGTTGCTGTCGCTGTGGTTTTTATAAATATGTGGACATTCATGTATTAAAAGCTCACCAGGACAGGGTTTGACACTAACAGTCTTCTGTCTGTGACTGACGTGGTTCTTCACACTGCAGCTGATGTTTCCATCAGTTCCCTCATCCAGATCAATGCTGGAGTTTCCATCCATCAGTGGACCTCCATTCAGAGTCCAGCTGTAGAGGATCTGATCGCCCTCAGAGGAGCAGAAAACCCTCATCGCCCCACTGGAGGAGCAGCTGATTGACACTTCCACTGAGCCAATAGGAGCTGGAGGGAGGGACACGTGACCGTCACACAACTCCTTCTTGACTCAGTATAAGTCAATATCAAGACATTTCTAAACAAAATGTATTGCTGAGGTGAAAGCTGGACTGAATTAAACATGCAGCGTACAGTAGGTTAGTCATGTGACAACAATGTATCAAATGACTGTTTAAATAGTTTTCACATTATTTTAAAACAGCACACTCTAAAAAATGCTGGGTTAAATACAACCCAGTGCTGGGTAAAATAGGGACAAACCCAGCAATTGGGCTGTTTTGACCCAGCGGTTGGGTTAAATGTTTAACCCAACCTTCTGGGTAGTAACCCAACCGCTGCCTCAGAGGAGCAGAAAACCCTCATCGCCCCACTGGAGGAGCAGCTGATTGACACTTCCACTGAGCCAATAGGAGCTGGAGGGAGGGACACGTGACCGTCACACAACTCCTTCTTGACTCAGTATAAGTCAATATCAAGACATTTCTAAACAAAATGTATTGCTGAGGTGAAAGCTGGACTGAATTAAACATGCAGCGTACAGTAGGTTAGTCATGTGACAACAATGTATCAAATGACTGTTTAAATAGTTTTCACATTATTTTAAAACAGCACACTCTAAAAAATGCTGGGTTAAATACAACCCAGTGCTGGGTAAAATAGGGACAAACCCAGCAATTGGGTTGTTTTGACCCAGCGGTTGGGTTACTACCCAGAAGGTTGGGTTAAACATTTAACCCAACCGCTGGGTCAAAACATCCCAATTGCTGGGTTTGTCCCTATTTTACCCAGCACTGGGTAGTATTTAACCCAGCATTTTTTAGAGTGCAGGCATTCAATAGCTAATGAGCTGCATGAAGTATCTAAACCATTTTAAATAAAATGTTAGCTAAGTTTGCAAGGTAACGTAATATGTTTACACTGTTATACTTTACAAAGAGAGATTTCTAATGAGAGTTTATTGAGATGAAGGAGGGGGTGATGAATTCAGACTTCTTCACTTAGGGTTAGGGTTAGGGTACTTAAACTAAAATAGGGTAAATAGTGAACTCAAAGCCACAAACGTCAAATTTTGACTTCATGAGTCTGTAACACAAAACACTTAAAACGATAAAGACTAATACTAGAGCACTGCAGACTGTTCTGAAAACATTCTAATATAGTGCTTTTTTCAGAGATTTAATTCTTTTTTTTTATGCCATCAGCAGCATGAGTTTGATGTGAAAGTGACTCACATGCAGCAGTTTGCAGCAGCAGCATCAGTCCAAAAATCAGCATTATTTCTCTAAAGTCCAGTTTCCAGAAGAGTCCAATCCCAGCAGAAGAGTGTGATGCTGCTTCAGTCACACAATCACTTCTCTCTCTGGCAGAAGAGCCTGACTGACACTCATCTGTGTACTCACAATATATTAATACACCTATTGCAGTTTCTGTGAGAGAAAAGGAATTTGAGATCATATGCTGATGCAGTTTTAACGTCTTGCACAAGCCAAGTTACAAAAATAACTAGCACATAAATTTGTTTTTCAGTCATTGTGTGGCCACAGGGAAAAAATTGGCTGAGACTGAGAATAAAAACCATTGCTGAAATCTACTAAAGAAAACATCTGTCACGATTTTCACATCTTCTATCAATTTTTACCCAAATTTGAATCCACGAGGTCTGGCACAAAATCATAATGGATGATGTTCCCTGTTAAAATCAATGTAAATTTGACCATCATAAGTAAATCAAACCACTGAAACAAAAATATTAGGGACAAAAATGACCTGCACTGTAAATCAAATATACAAGAAAAAAACAGCTAAATAAGCCAGATGTCGTAAGGATATTTATAATGTCAAATTTAAGCCCTGCATGTGTCATTTTAAAATGTATTAACAAAGCTCTCAGTGATTACTGCAATTTGTAAAAATATTTTCCTTATAAAGAAGCAGTTTGTAAATGATGACACTGAGATCTCTGTCATTCAAATTCAAATTCAAGATTTTGAAATCGGTTTCATTTGAAGAAATTGTGACAGAAAATATATTACTATTGTACGGTAGAATGTTCTTCTCAAAGCAATAATAATGACATTTACTGTATATTAATTTATACAAATTTATGATATAATTCTATAGATTATTTTATATATTTTCATAAATCCAGGACAAAAATCTAAAAAATAAATCATATAAAACATTTCATATGGCTATTATTGTGAACTATTAAGTTGAAAAAAATGTTAAAGTTTAAAGTATTTAAAAATATTAAAGTTTTTTGTAAATGCAATTGATTTAAATAATTAAAATTCAATTTAAAGCTAGAAAATTGAAAAAGGTAATCTAGAAAAATTACAATTAATTACTGCGTCTCTTCCTGATGCCACACAAGGACCTGAGGCAGATGTTCTTCGTGGTGAGTTTTATGTGATTCACCCACCAAAGATAAACTAAACTTAATAGCTATATTGAAATGTCATTTGAATTAGAAGACATGGTGTAAATCCTAAAATAATCAGAATAACAGGGGAAAAAATTAAGCATGCAAATGCTTTAATCCAACTCTCCTATTAATCAGATTCAAAAATACCTTGCACACAAGCACAGTACCATGATGCAAATGTTTACATGTTTTATGGCATATGAAAGTATATGTTATGTCTTAAGAAACTGGTCAGTGGAGGAGACTGCGGACACTGATTTACTAGATCTTTGCTTAAAAAATCTTCTGGTATAGATGCTTGCTTTCTTTTTGGATATGTCATCATGGCAAAGCTACATTTACACTATAGCTCTGGTGACATTATCGTGGTATGGTAATATCGTGGACATTCTCCAGTTCTGAACGCATTGACTGGGTTTTGTTCAGATTACATGTAAGCAAATATGTGAACTGCATTGCACCATTTAGGGTTCATGTAAACAAAACTCTGAATTAGATTTTTTTTGTGAGTTCCAATTCTAAATAATGCATTGGTACTGCTGCCACCTGCTGGCTAAATGTACAGTCACAGGATTTTTTCATTATGAGCCGAGTAAAACTTTACAGATGCTTTGAAAAAATGCTGCTTCGTGGTTATTTAGAGGGTTTTTTCTTGATTCTTGACCCAGTCTTGCCTTTTATTTTCCAGATCAGTCTCGACCCGCACATTAAACAGAGTCAGACACGTTATCATTTCCTCATCCTCCTCTTCTCCAAAGATGAAGATATCAGTCTTGCTCTCAACATGAGCGAGTGAGTACACTGGACTTTCTCTCTCTGCCAGAGGCATTAGCTTTGCTGACTGGATCTGTCTCTCTTCTCTCTAATGATAACGTGTATCAACACTTTATAAATCTATAAACAATCTAGCTAAAAACACAGTTAGACTACCATTTAAATGTTCAATGTCAATAAGGTTTTTTGTCTTTAATCAAGAAGGATGCATTCAAATTATCAAAAGTGACAGTATAGAGATTTATTGTTACAAAAAAAAATCATATTTCAAGTAAATGCTGTTCTTTTTCCTATTTATCAAAGATTCCTGAAAAGAAATATGGTTTCCACAAAAAAAGCTATCAATATTAAATTAAATATTAACTTTGATAATAAATGTTTTTTGAGCAGCAAATCAGCATATAATGATTTCTGAAGGATCATGTAATTTTCTATATTTTACAATGACTGTTTTTTACTGTTTTTATGATCATATAAATCCAGCCTTGATGAGAATATAGGAGACAAAAATATTTTTAAAAATCTTACAGAACCAAACTGTTGAACAGTAGTGTATACACACCATTAGAACAAATTCGGGTTTCTTCTGCTTCTCCATATTGTTAAACATGCGCATGAGTGCAGGACATCATATCTCGCAGCAGTAACTCATTGGCACTTTGGTCAGAGCAGAAAAGCAATTAAAGCATTTACATGCCTGTTGAGTGCAATTAAATCACAGTAATCATAACTGCATAATGTGAGTACTCTTATTATCTTAATCACAGTATTGATTGCATGAGATTTAACTTAATCACAGTGCTTTAGAAGAAACTAACTAATATTAATTTCTAAAGCAATGGTCTTTTCTCTCTCATATATATAAATGATCACATCATTCGCAATGTTGGATAATAACATCATAAAATCACATTATGTTACATGTGCAGTATCAATTTCCTTTCTTTCCCTTCTATCCTTTCTCTTACTGGCTCTGACAGATTAGTGATCATGTTTTCTTCCAAATGTTGTCTGAGTTATAATTAAATAGATTACGCTAGGAGCTTTTTCTCTGGACACACCCAAATGCACATGCATGTCGTGTTCACGCATGGATGGACGCACAATCTGAAACTGGTTTTAACTAAATAACCCATTCTGTTGATGGTTCTGCACTCATGGGAATAAGCAGGAAGAGCGTTTGACCCTCTAATTCTTTGATCCAGACTCTGTGTGTGTTTATACTGAAGTGCCCCTGATGGCGACACACTTTTACTACATTAATGTCCTGTGGACAGCAGCAGCATACACAATAATGTTACATTCACATTATTTATCGAACTGTTTGTGTGTGTTAGGGCATGAAAGGTGCAGATGGCTACAGCGATTCTGATGAAGACCAGCATGACGCTTGCCTGGAGAGAATGAAAGATCTCCAGGGCAAGATCAGAGAAGAGGGAGACAGCAGTGATAAATCACCTAAACTAAACTAAAACACATAATGCAAACTAAATATATGGTACATTCCATGTTTTTAACTTAACTTAAAAACTTAACTTTTCACAAAATATTGCATGTCAACCTTATTTGACATGCAAGTATTTGAACAATAAAATTAAGCATCAAAATTAAATAAAAATAAAGGGGTTGAATTAAACCATCACTCAGCAGGAGCCCAATCTTGGATGCAAATGTTGGTCTGCAGTTATCAACTTATTTCCAATCAATTCAAACAAATATATAAAGAAAAATATTTGTTTGATCATATTTGTTATAAA